CAGGGGAGTCAAAAGGTTGATGGCTTGGCTCCTCTTCTGGCCTTCTCTACTTCTTTGTGGATGATGCACTTGCTGGTGAACGCGTATGGATCAGCGAACATAGCATTCGAAGATGTTGGTACGACTCGTAAAGTGTTCATCTGCTCGTCCAGGGTTGTGTCCAAACGCATCAGACAAGCCCTTGTATCGGCTAACTCTTGTAACGTTACATCTAAAACCCTCTGACTTTCTAACTCTCTAAATTGGTACTCTCGCTCCATTTGTTGAAATTCTTGCTCTCTCTTCTAAAATTCTCGCTCCTTCTGCTGAAATTCTTGCTCCCTTCGGTCCCACTCTTGCTGAAAATGGTATGCATGGATCTGAAGTCTTGTCTGTACCTCTTCAATTTCTCGGCTTGCGCGTGGTATCAGATTCACTACACCATGCAGATTATTTTGCAACCATGTCTTGTATTCGTCGACATACCCAGCTTCATATCTATTCTTGGCCATATCCTACTTCATGTTGATATGTCTGGCCCATTCCTGGAGGATGATCTTAGCGAAAGGTATTTTGCCGTTTTGTCGTAATCGACAACAAAAGATCTAGCATCCCCTTGGACGGGTACGACTTGTGTTCTACCAAATTGTTGCATCACTCTTGTCAAGTTGTAGGGCCGCAATACTCTAATGCCAGGAAAGACAAAAAAGGGAAGTTTGACCCCTTGTGCTGCTATCCTCTTGGATTTAAAGTTTGGTAACATCCACTGTATGTCTCCTTCTTTCAGATCATAAAATACCCTTGCCCACGCATCTCTCATGGTATGAATTGGAAATCTGCGGACACTTAGATAGAATTCATTATTATCAAGAGGACTCGTCTGGCTCGATTTGGCCAACTCCTGTGGCTGGGCATCGTCCCTTTTACAGAGATGCTCAATCAACCACCATTGAAGTAAAATGTTGCAACCTCGGAAAAACGGGAACCCATTTTTACATAGATTTAAAGATCGATAAATGTCGGCCAAAATAATCGGGGCCAAACTACAGTACTTCTTTTCTTCTTGTTTTCTACCAATTCTTCTGAACATGGCGTCCACTACCATCACGACCCGGGTGTCGATTTCATTTTCTTCATCTTTAGGGAACACCATAGTTCCTAAAAGGCATGCAGAGAAAGCGATAATCTGAGTTTGCCTCCAGGTAATGTGATTGTGGAATTCACTCGAGAATAGTCTAAAATAGCTGTCATGCCCCCATCTCTCGAAAAATCTCATTAGTGGTATATCATGGGTCTCCAACCAGTTTGCATTACTAGCAATAATATATTCTTCAATTCTTCACTAGTTGGCCTATCGGGAAGAAGGATGTGATAATTTGGACATTTTTCTCTTTCGCCACATGTACCAATTGAGTCTAGACAATCCTTAATTTCCTCTAGTGTGGGTGTTATTTCGACATCTCCAAATCAAAAAACCATATTTTCATCGTCCCAGAATCGAGTGATAACCTCGATAAACGTGGGCCATACCTTGAAGTCCATTATTGAAGGTAAGTGACCCAAGTAAATTGAGATTTCTCTCTTTTGACAATCTTTGAGATTATCCCACCATACACGAAGAATGTCGGGTGTCTTGGTTACCATGTTGAAATGGAGGAATTGACTCGACATCTACAAAAATATACAACTTTTTAATTGCCACCCCCACGATACAACAAATATTTACACATGCAATACATCCTTCAGAACACACAAATATAATCGTCCTATCGATCCGTGGGCTCTTTGGACTCAAGGTGGTCTTGCTAATGAGCCCAACACTACTTTGGTGTTGGGTCATCTTAGGCCAATGCGCTACTTTTGGGATTGGGTTTCGCTATCTTAGTTTGACTAAGAGTGAGTTGTATTTAGAGTGGAAAGGGTTATCCAAGCGGACTACTTGGGCTGGGACAGTTAACAATCGTTGACTATAAAGTAGCCAACTACACTCGTCAGGGTGTCCCGAGAAAAATTTTAGTTAATGAACGACTGTAAATCCGCATAATCGTCCTTTAATGGAAATGAAACAATCGTCGTTTGACGGAATTATGATATGCCATGATGCAACAATTCAATAAAGCAATAGATAACAGATAAACAGTTAACTCACATAGCCAAAGTACGTTAGTTTTAAGGTTAGAATCCTCCTAAACTCCCCAGCAGAGTCGCCATTTCTATTTTATCAAAAAAATTGGAAATCAAAAAAAATTTTGTTTTGAAGAAAAGTTTTCGAAACTTCTAAAGACGCGTACAATATGTCAAAACGCTATTAAATAAATGGCGAGTGATAGCCAGCTCAACACAAATATGAGGGAAGCTTCTCAAACAGTAAAGCTACTTCAAAATGAAATGAGAGGTGGAAAGGAAAAAAAGAAGAAGAAACAAATGACATAACTAAACATCAGCCTCAAAAAAATGTCCAAAAGATGAAAGAAATAAAAGAAACGAAATTAAATGAGATAATAGGCGAAGTGGTCACCTCTTTCTGATTATTGAACTTGACAAAATGCGCTTGAGGAGAGAAACGATCCTTCCACACTAGTAGTAAAGGCAGAGGGATATAACGAAGCCGATCGAAAGCTCGGACTTCTGACAAAATCTATCGCTATGACCTCTCAATGAATATATTTGTTATCTCTCTTCTACTTGATTCTTTCCTGTCCGTTCCTTGACTAATTTCTCAAAGAAGTTTCAGAGATGGAGAAAATTTCCAAATCTCTATCAAAATTTCTTTCCCTCTAATTTCCAACCCCCTCACAAATGAGGAAAGGGGGATATTTATAAGAAAATTCTAGTTTTTTTTATGAGGGGAGGGCGGAGGGATATCTGAAGAAACTGGGGGCAAAACGTGTAAGATCCTCAATTGAAATTCAAAAATCCGTTGCCAGGACGAGAACAACTGCGCTTTTTTTGTACTCGATTTCACCTAAAGCTGCTTGGAATCCAGACGAGGACAACAACGTGGACGACTAGTATTAACCCGTCGTCCTTGCGCCTAGACGTGGCGCGATCTGATATTCGCAAGGACGAAAAAAAATTCTGGCATCCTATTGAAGAATCATACCAGTCGACAGGGAATTTGCAGCTTGCTCGGACGCCCAGACGATAGGAACGCGTCATTTACATGAATCGACCATTGCTGCTCGCAGACTCTTTGTCGAGTTCATTTCTCATGCGCTGGACATACTTCGGCCTCCGTCCTTCTGTGAGGAAAAAAGAACGGAAAAGAAGGAGGGAGAAAGTGTGATGCACCCTGGAGTTTTCGTCTCGGCTTGCTGCAAAGAGGAAAAAGAAAACGCGTGAGGGGGCCGTGCTTCAACGCGCTAGATTTAACGTGTACAACTGGATGTATGCTTCCACATTTCTTTTGTGAGAGAAGGGAGGAACGGAAGTGGGTAGGGTTACCGGGTTATGGGGATTGGGAGGGGAAGGGATGGAATAAAATTGGTCCTGCAGAATGAAATAAATGGGCCGAGCGAAAATTGGTGATGGGCTGAAGATTTGTTAAATAAAGGCCCACTTAAGGTCTTAATCATATGTTCTGCTAAAAATAAGATAAGTCAATAAACAAGCTCCTTAAATTTAATGAGGTGAGATAATTAATTTAATTACAGACCGATAAATTCAAAGCGTGAACTACTACCTACTCGAATTAATTAGTAAAATAATTAAACGAAGTAAAAATCTTTTCGAGGTAATTTGAGTGTATATATAATTATGCAAAACACATATGCTATTTCAAATTTATAGAAAAGGTGAGATAAATTATAAATAACTAGAAAACAACTTAAAACAAAAAAAAATCTTGAATCATATAAAAAATATGAAGCTCGTTAATTAATTATAATATGAGCGTAAAAAATTGGGCATCAACACATTTGTTTAGAAATATCGTGTTTTACATCTTTGTCAAAAATAAATTTAGCTGCTTGCCAATCAGTTTTTATAATAAACTTTTGATTATATAAGTCTCCTTGAAATTTTAAAACACTTTTTACTATAGCTAAAATTTCTTTAGCTATCGTAGCATATTTTTTTGACTATTATTCTATTTTCCTGAATGAAATTGTACAAGATATTCCTTCTGATCGACAGGAGAGATTTGCTTTAAAATTCCCCCATAGCCAATATCAGAAGCATCTGTCTCAACTATTTTTTCCCAATTAGGATTGGCCAAAGTGAGACATGGTAGGTTATTAACCTTTGTTTTGATACGCTGGATTGCTTTAGTATGGTCCTCAGTCCAAGCTTTAGGATTCTTTTTGAGTCTATCATATAATATTGTCGTTTCTTTGGATAAATCTTTTATAAAAGGAGAAATATAATTTAAGCTACCCAAAAATCGTTGAAGTTGAACTTTATCAGTAATAATATTAGGAAATTTTGAAGCAAACTCAATACTTCTTTGAATAGGAATAATTTTTCCTTTTTCAATATTATGACCAAAGAATCTTACATTTGTTTGAAAAATGTGCATTTACTGTTTAGATATAACTAAGCCATTTTGGATAATAATTTTCTTGAATAAATCCAGATGTTTAAAGTGCATTTTCCGAGTCTTTGAAAACGCTAGAATATCATCTATATACACAATGATAAAATTGCTAAAAGGATTAAAAATATCATTCATACTTTTTTGAAATTCTCAGGGAGCATTTTTTAATTCAAAAGGCATGACATTCCACTCATATTGTCCCATTGGTATGTTAAAGGTTGTTTTATATTTATCCTTTTCAGCGATTTGGACTTACCAATATCCTGATTTTAGATCGAATTTTGAAAATATGATGGCTTCACGAAGCCTATATAAGAGATATTTTTTATTGGGAATGGGGTATCTAATCCATTTTAAAATTTTATTTATAGGTTTGTAATTTATTACAAGCCTAGGTACCCCTCTTTCTTGTTTTGCTTGTTTATTAACATAAAAAGCAGTACAAGACCATGGTAATTTTCAGGGTATTATTAAACCCTTTTGTAAGAGAATATTAATCTCATTTTTATATAATTCTAAATATTCTGAATTCATTTGGCAGGGTCTTGCTTTAGTAGGAATATTATCCTCCGGAAATTCTTCTTTATAAGGAAGACTAACTATATGCTTTTTATTTCCCAAAAAATATTTGGGTGATCTCCACATATTTGCAAGGAGAATTTATTTTTCAGGTACTCAATTTTTTCTTGAACCTTAGAATTTTGCAAGGTTTCTTCTATAGTAAGGCTACAAAAAATTTTTTAAGAAAACTAATTTGCTTAGTTTTTAAAGAAATCATATCTTTAACTTCATTTATAAATTTGGAATAAGGTGGAGATATAAAATCTATCCTTATTTTTTCTTTCGAAAGTTCTGATAATTCCAGTATGATTCCAAGAGGTAATAGGGTAAATATGCCAAAACAAAGACATTCCTAATATAATTTCATTAGAAATATTTTTTATTAAAATAAAACTTTCAGGTATAAAAAAATTATTAGTGCAAATATATGCTTTAAAAATTTTATATTCAATATCCATTTTATGACCACTAACATTCCTAAGGGTATGAGTAGTTTTTTTTTGAAATATGTGAAAGGAATCAATCCTTCTTGAATACAATTTAAATTAGCTCCACTATCAATAAGAGCAATAAAATCTATTTTAAAATTATAATCAATAAAAATAGTTATTTTAGCAAGTGGTTTATGAGCAGTAATTAATTCAATAGTTTTTAAAAATAATTGTTTACTCTCCGAAGATTCTTCAGGAGTATTTGAGAAAACATTAGGGGTATCAGGAAGCTCTTTTTCATTTATAATTTGTTTTCCCTTTTGAGTATTATAAATACTCTCTATTCAAGTAATTCTTTCATCAAGAATTGTATTTTGATTCTTTAGCGAGGCAATTTCCTTTTTGAGATTATTAACCTCTTCCACTAAATCTTGGATTGTAGTTGGATTATGATTCCATTGAGACCTATCCTTTAATTGTCTCCTTAGTTCTGTCATAGTGTAAGTATTATCCTGAGTAGGATTTTCTTTAGAAATTCTTGTATTTTTAGTAGAAGTATTGGTATTATCAATCTTATCAATTATTTGAGACCTTATTATTGGGTCATCAATCATTTTTAGCATTTATACCCAATCATCACTGCTTATGACATTGATATTTAAATCCTTGAATTGTGAATATAGCTTATAAAATTCATCTGTGTCTTGCTCTTTGTCCTCACATGGTTGTCCTATTTGACAAGGCAGACATTCTTCTTCTGAAGAGGGAATATAATCTTCATTATGAAGAACTCTTAAATCCTCACTAGTATTAGATTCTTCATCTTCACTATTATCATGGCTGGATCCTTCAGAAGATGAATTTAATAGGATTTTGCAAAGAGAATCCTTAATATTTTCATCAAGATTAAGACTTTTAATCTTGTCCTTAACCTTGTAATCCCTGACATAATGCCCTATTCTTTCATATTTGTAGCAAGCATTTGACTTATCGTATTTGGATATTTTCCTTTCTGACTTTCTCTTTTCACACTTATATAAGTGTTTCTTCTTCTGATGAGGCTTATAAGATCTTTCTTTATACTCTTTTTTCTTCTTGTTTCTAGAAGAATTTCTGGATATTTCAGGCATATCAAAAGCAAATTGTTAGCAGAACTCTCCTAATTGTTGCTTTTCATTCAAATGATATTTTTTAATCTGTTGATTCATCTTGATCTCGTTACATAAAGAGATTCCTTCTTGGGTACAAACACTTATAAGTTTCCCGTAGGTATAATTGTCGTAATTTATGCTTATTCCATCCCCCCTAAGGATTTTCCTAATCCTTTCTGCAAATAAAGTAGGGAGTCCATCTATGAACTTAGATTTCCAATGACAATTATTACACTCAGCTAATTCCATAACTCGCGAAAGGAATAAATCCTTGTATCATCTAAAGGAAGTAAGTGTTCTACACTTAAGGTTTTTGAGCATAGTCCTAATAGTCTCACTATTATCTAACCATCTTCCAGAGAAATGTTCTATAATAGTTAAAACTAGTGTATAAACTATGTTGGGGACTAATCCATTTTCTTCTTTTACTGCAGTTAAAATGGTCATCCTCTGAGCCTCTTTGAGACAATTATCCCACCAACCTTTTAATTGCCCTGTGAATCCGGAAACAATTATATAAGCAGTATCCTTCTCAGAATTTTTGTTGGCTTTGCAAATGGTGCTGTATATGAGAATTCTATGGGCCAACGTATAAATCTGCCTATCCGTAAAACCATCAATATTCCATTCATAGCTTTCTGTTCCACTGAAACTTTAGAGACAATATATTGTTCTTCCTCTAAAAGAATATCCTGAGGGGTTGGCCTAAGATAATAGAACATCTTTTGGACCGGTTTTCTAGCATGTTTTGCTGAGATTTTATTAATCTCATCAGGAATATTAATCTCAGTAGGAATATTATTTCTACTATTATCTATTAAATAAAGAGGATTAAGTTCTAGATCTTTATAATACTTCTCCTCTAATAATCTTTCAATATTATCAAGTTTTGATAACTTAAAATCCTTTACCTCAGGTGGAGGCTGGATACTTGCACTGTGTTTTTCCTTACCTTTGTCAGAGACTTTGGACTTTTCTATTATAGAGCAGATATGACTGACCTTATCATGCAAAGAGAGGATATGTTCCCCTAAAATGCTCATGTAAATATTTGTATAATAACTTTGTTGTATAAGAATTTTGATATGTTTAGTAGTCAATAAAGCAGTATCATCATTAAATAAATCTGCAAAAGTTGTGGAATGAACAATCTTTTTATCTTTCTCAATTTGGAAAGATTATTGATGTGGCAAAAAATGATTTAGTAATCGTACCATCCGGCAATTTATAATCACGTTCTAACATACAAATATACTTATAAATGTATTTTGTCATGAACCATGGTACAAATGCAATAGCTTTATTAGCTTGAGAAAGGCCATTATAAAAATTGTTTTGTAAAAAAGTCTGGTGATTATTATCAAAATTATTGAAAAACCATTCTCTAAATGGTTTCTATTTAGGTTGGAAAAATTCATTTGAAATTTTCTCTCGTATCGGTGATCCCGGTCTAAAATTAATTTGTTCGTTTAGATCCATAAAAACCATTTGGAAAGTTCACTTCTGATAAAGTATGTTCATCCATATCATGAGTGACAATATGATGTTCTATTTTGATGTTATCAATTCGTTCACCTTCTTTTGTATAAGAGATTGAGGATCTGAAATTATCCTCATCTTTTATCTGGGACGTCGAAGCCCTAGAAGGAATGTTAACAATATAATCTACTGGAGAAATATAAGAAGAGTTAGATCTAGACATCCTGGCCTGCTATCCTATACTATCTGTATAACTCATCAATAAATTCTGATCATTAAATTTGATCCTTACCGTTTCATCTTGAGTCAGTTCAATATAAGATATAACCGAATTTATACTATTTCTTGGAGGAATAGCTTCTTCAATAACCCATTCATTAGGAAAATCAATTTCATCCCATTTAATAGGTCGTCTTGTCATAAGTTTTGATTTGCTAAAATTTGTTTCTATTAAAATGGTCTCATTTTTAAAATCCATAATTTTACACATAGAATTTAAAGTATATAAAGGTTTATAGTAAATTCTACAACAAATACATATAACTTCAGTACCAGGCAAATAATCATACCCATGTAATTTAATACTCAAAATTAAAATATTAAGTGGATTTTCGTCATTTAAAGAGATCTGCAAATTAGGATAAACATTAAAATAAACAAGACCAAGCCGAACTAGTTTGCACTGTCCCTATAAGAGATTTCTTCCAATTCTTATTTCTTCCATCCCTTAGAACTGCTATAAAGCTCTCTGGTAAGCCTCTTAATGCAAGGAGCTTCAAATCAAGTTGTAGCAGACCAATATGCATAAATCTATTTCCCAATAAGGGGAAAAATCATTTTCAGATTATTATTATAATTACTATTATTATTATTATTACTATGATCATTATTATTATAATAATAATAATTATTATCATAACAATAATAATAATAATAATTATTATTATTATTATTATTATTATTATCATTATCATTGTTATTATTATTATTATAATTACTATTATTATTATTATTACTATAATTATCCTTATTATTATTACTATTATTATTATTATTATTATTACTATTACTACTATTATTATTATCATTAGTATTATAATTATTAATATTATAATTATTATTATAATTACTATTATTATTATTATTATCATCATCATCATTATTATTATTATTATTATTATTATCATTATTATCATTATTATTATTATTATTGTTGTTGTTATTATTATTATAATACTATTATTATTATTATTATTATCATTATTATTATTATTATTATTATTATAATAC